TTTCCGGTAAAAACATCGGTGGCGACTTCACAGAACCCCACAAAACTAGTCCTTGGGTTAGCCCGGTTATCGGACAACCCAAGGACGCCCTTTCAAAAACCTTGCCCCTAGGTTAGCCGGTTATCGGACAACCTAAAGGCGTTGTAACCACCCATAAAAATGCGAAAATCAAAAGGGTCGAAACCATCGCGTCGCTCCAAACGCCTCTCTTTTTAGACGGCGGCGACATTGATCCCAGCCAAATGTAGCTAGGATTTCAAAATCCAACCGTAGCATGGGATGCCAGGAAAATTGTTGGATATTTGCTATCCTTTGTTGATGTGGTTCTGCCAGCAAAGTGTTAGTGACAGGAGTTCCTCTAGCGAAGGTTCTGGTGCGTTTTCTCTTGGATGAAGCCTCTCCATGTTCCATTGTATGCCTTACTCACTTAAGGATGCTAAAAGTGTGTAGAAAGGGAGGAGAAGCAAGATGGAATGCTTGGAATGGGGTACCAAAGCAAGGATCCGAGCCTAACATATATAGGAGGAGCTAGGAGTGGTGGGACGGCCGTCTGGGTTGGGACGGCCGTCTCACTTGAAAATTTTCCTTTGGGGCAGCCAACTGAGGAGTGGGACGGGCGTCTCACTTGAAAATTTGATCCTGAGACAGGCGTCTCAAACTTGGGACGGGCGTCCCATTTGAAATTGGTTGTTTGGGACGGCCGTCTCGCCCTTGGGACGGCTGTCTCAAGTTTTTCGAGTTGGTTTTCATGTTTTTTGATGAGAAAGAAGATAGGACTTCGTTCATTTATGTTTTAATGCATGTAGTGTTTCATGATATGCATCCTATGATCTATTTCAGTTAATATTTCGAAAGTTTTAACTGATGTGCTTTGACTTCGGGCGCATTCTTGGTGTTGTACCTTTCTGTCATCATGTTTCTTGATTAACAAGCTTGGCTGTATCTGATTTGCCGTCTTGGAATTTTCTTGTTATAGCCGAAGAACAATCTTTTGTTCGTAGGGCAACTGCCATGACGATGCCTCCCTTCCTTTCCTTAGGGATTTCGACCTTCCTATTGATCACTATGTTTCCATATTCCCCTTTATTACTTGAATGTTTTATAGTGAAATGGTCAAGAGAAGAGAAAGAAAAGGATTTACAACAAGGGCTTGTGTTTTAGAGGGATATTTTTTATAATAGAGGTTTTTATAAGAATGGCTAGCCAAGGTTGGTCTGTGTTTAGGCTAGTTTAGACAAACGTTTTGTTCTTATAATGTGGCGTCTTTGTTTTACTAATTTGTGGCGCCTTTTTGTGATTGATTAACTTTCCTAGCCCGCCCTTTCAGGTTTTCAGCCTAGAATGTTATGCCTATGTCCTAACTTTTGTCTAGGTTTCCTTTTTTGTATTTATTTTTTAGGAATACCTAGCGGACTTTTCGTAACCCTAACTTTTGCGCAGGCTACCCTTTATTGTTGTTCGGGTCTCCTGCCGGGTTTACCCTAACTTTTGTGCAACCCCCTTTTATGGGTTTCCTGCCGGATATTTTGCCCTTTTATTTTCTTGTCTTGGCCTTTGGCCTTGACGAGCTCTCCTTTTTTGTATATATATATATATATATATATATATATATATGTATATATATTTTTTTTTTTGCACAACATTGTCGAAACTTGATTCTATCGAGATAAATTTTATCCATGTTTCTAGTTAATCAATCATATTTGACTTTACTTTGTGACGCTTTGATTGTTCCGACGCATTTGGAACAAAACGTCTATCTAAACCTTGTTTATTTAAAATGGGGTACAAACATATTTAGCAAGAAGAGAAGCGAGATAGTAAGAATAGCATGAAAGTAATGAAGATCTTATTGAATTACCTTGGCAAAGATCTTGTTGATTTGATGAAGTCAAGAATAAAGTCAAAGGCTACTTTCTGGAAGTCAAAGGTCACTTGGATAAAAGAGAAGAAGGATTAGTGTGTCTATAGTTCCGCTTAGGTATAATCATCTTTATCTTTTTTGCTGCATGAGGTTTCTTCACTTAAAAGTTTTTGCAAAATGCCTCTAAAAGAAATTTAACGATCAAAACCAAAGTATTTTGATAAAAGCTTTCTTAATCAACTATTTTAACTAATAGAATATAAGCTTTATCAACTAAAATGTTCTTCACACTTTTATAACAAGGTTTTAACTAATATAACTTCGAAATAACCGATTGTTTTCATTAAGGGAAGTTTTGAAAACCTTCAGTCAGTATTTTAACTAATACAATTTTGAAATAACCGATTAAAATCACTTAAAATGTTCAGAGAAGTGTTCTGGCAGTATTTTAATCTATACAACCTCGAAATAATCGATTAAAACCACTTGGAGTACTCGTTTGACCGATCGAATGGGTTTATGACTGATCGGAACCGGATATGATCGATCA